TTTTAAAGTAGGGAAAATATTTCAATATTGCTTTAAACATTTTTCATCTGCACCAAACCATCTATATCCATATATAAATAAATAAGTAAATAGATAAATAAATAAATAAATAATATATATATATATATATATTATATATATATATAATATATATATATATATATATATATATATATATATATATATATATATATATATATATAGTGAAAGAGCATTATACCAAGACATGGCTTTATCCTGTATTCATATGATTTTCTTAGAATCACAAAATAAGAATTCACAAATAGGTAAGTAGATCTTGATCCACCATCATTTTTCGTCTGCTATATATATATATATATATATATATATATATATATATATATATATATATATATATATATATATATATATTAGGGGTTGCTCAAGTCTACGCTTTCAAGATTTGTGATAATGATGAAAATTATGGATAACCCCAAAGTCTCTGCAATCTCTCTCTCTCTCTCTCTCTCTCTCTCTCTCTCTCTCTCTCTCTCTCTCTCTCTCTCTCTATATATATATATATATATATATATATATATATATATATGTATGTATGTGTGTGTGTGATAGACAAATACATATATTTTTATTTCTATGTATAGAGGAACAATATGGATTTCTTTCATATTTATAATTCTTTCCCGACAGCTGGTGACAATGCCGACTATGATGGTGAGAGTGATGGTGATGGCCCTGCTGATTGCCTTGATAATTCCAGTAGGTGAGAGAATATGATTAGGATTAAGCCTTCATCCATATACCGATACAACATCTCACACAGTGCTTAATCAACTGAATTATCAAATATATAGCTTCGAAAAGGTTGTCGAAAGTACCAACAAACCGAGATACATTCATTTATCCTATTCCACATTCACTTATTCGTGGTCACTATCTCACTTATTTAGCCTTCATTCTACATTAATCTATATACTGACATAACGTAGCTTATAACAGCACAATCTCCACACTTCCAGGTGGTACAGTGCCGGTGGTGACGCTGGAGAGTGATACAGCTGGGCTCTGTGTGGCGTCAGATAACATCACGTACTTGGGCATGCAGGCGTTCGATCCATACAACATGACGGTATGTGGTCTTCTGCGGCCTCATGGACAAATGGGGGATGTCGGCCTGGGTGTCATTTTCTTATACAGCATTAGCCAGAAACACGTAGCGGCAGGTGAGTCTGATGCTGTATTGGAAGTATAGTTTCGAATGGGCTTTTTTATGTGTTTTGGTTGTATGTTAGTGTTGGTATAAGGGTTTTTAGAATCAGAATCTTTTATCCTATCGTTATTGAATTTCTGTAATCATCCATGAATCTAATTATGTGTGGATTTTTGTATGAATATGTTTGATTGTGGTATTTATATGTCTGTTTTTAACTCCTTCTCGTATCTA